AGGGAGCCCGATGTGGGACTCGATCCCAGGACCCTGGGATCATGACCTGAGCCGAAGGCAGACGCTTAACGACTGAGCCACCCAGGCGCCCTCTGCTATCTATTTTTAAAAGTTGGTTATGCTTTATTAAATTAGGAAGCATTCTTATCAAATTATTAAATTAGAGGCTTTTACAGACAAATCTATTAAATCACCATTTACTAGATTGTCTGAGCTTTCTCAGCCCTATAGCACAGACCTTCAAGCTGATCTTAAATTGAGGCTCTGATGCGATGAAGGTTGACATTCAGCCAGAATGCTCTCCTGGTTATTAAAAATACTGAAATATTTCCATACCAGTTGGTAAATACCCACTTCCCCAAGCTGTGCTTCCCCAAGTCCTCCAGAGCTAATGCATGGCATCCATTAGCTCTGTGCCTCTGCCCTACTTGTTTTTAAATATTTTGATTATCACACTTGAATATAGTGTCACACAGACTGAAAAAATGACCTGAGTTAAAAGAAACCTCTGATTACCAAAGATTTTTATAATTGCTGCAATAGAGAGAATTTTACCACTGGAAATTTTTGCATTAAAAATGTGTGTTTCTTAATATTCTTAAGCTACCTACTTATCCACATTTTTCTCAAGGAAGGGTAAGGATTTCAAAAAAAAAGCAAGAAATGAAATTGCCTACCGTTTGCTTAAAATTAGTCCATACATATTTCCCTAGAATCTAGATCACAGGCAGGTTCTGTTTGACTGGAACAGGGTTTTTTGTTCTTGTTTTAATTTGAATTCACTGCCATCATTCTAAAAATCGAGTATCTCCTACAACATTTGGGTTTCCTACTTCTCGTGAACTACCAGGATCTGGCAACACTTGCCTGATTTTTGCATGGCACCCATCGGAAACTGAACAGTGATTTCCTGCGTATGGAAGATTGGGGTAGTGCAGATATCTATATTTGTGTGCCTCCCCTGGTCCAGATGGTCTGTTATAGGAATCATCAATATCTCATTTTTAAGTGATTAAGTAGGATCAATACTAAATATTGTTTCACGAGAATTAATATCTCTTCCTTCAGAGGCTTGTCATCTTAAAATCAGGCGCCTCTAGGTGGTGGTGGTGGGGACAATAAAGTAACTCTCCTGTCCTAACCTTTACAAAAGTTATCTTCTGAAAGAGATCTCTCTCTCGTTCAGGGCATAGTAATGAACGCAGAAGCGGAAACATGTTCCTTCTGGCAAAATCTTTCATTCACGCTGTTACATCTGTAAAACAAATCTCTTTGGATTTGCTTTAAACTAACAAGTCAAAGGGGGGTTTGAATCTTCATTTGAGGCGAATTCTTTGGTTGATGCTTTAAAGACTCACAGAAATAAAGTTAATGAACTTCTTAATCCAGGGGGAAAGAAAAGACCTGTCTTCTCAATGGTAAACCATCTCTGCAGTTGTGAGCCAGTCATCCCACAGAGTTTATCAAGGAAAGGAAGCATTCCTCTGTTCTTCCCCTTCTCATCTACTTGAAAAAATAGAGTTCTGTTGAAGATTTTCATTTCATCCTTCTCACTCCTCCCCACTGGTTTTCTTGTGTGACTGTATTCTACTTGTAGTTTACACTCAATTCCATTGTTGGTGCTCACATACACACACTTCCATATTATAGTGTATAACAGCCCTTGTTCCGCTGTCATTCTACCGTGTAACTGTTACTCTATTATATATGTATAATTGTATATATACAACATATACATATTTATATAATCCTTTTATTTATGATTGTCAGATAAGATTTAACTCTGAAGACTCTCCTAATAACAGAAAATCTAATAATTCACTAATTCTTAAATTCACCACAGCCTTGATCAAAATAACCACTTTTAAAAAAATAAAGTCAGGTAATTAAGGTAATTACTGGAGGTTGGTAGTTCCTTTCAAATAGGAGCAGATATTTCCTATACCAACATTTAATATCAGATAACTTCTGTTAACTAAAACTAGTTTTTTAGAGTTTAAATGTCATTCCTTAAAATACAACATATAAAAGGTTATTGAGCGAACAATCGCTCCAGAGGCAAGAGGATTTGCACCTGCTGTTTATGATACAGAACAGAACTGGCCTTGTCAGGTTTAGACAGTTTTAAAGACTTTTATCAGTGACTTGGGAGTGTGCCCTGAAATAGAGATGTATGGTTACCTTACTTTAATGATACTTTTAGGATTTTGCAAGCTTCTTCCCTGATATTTTTGGAAAGTACCTTCTATATTTTCATAGGCCACCACTGGAAGCTAACAATATAAGTGAAGTCATTAATTTATAATTAGCATGCATTTCCTAACAGTGGTCTTGCCACCAAGCCCCAATACAGTTTGGGACTATATTCACTGCATTATTCTAAATTTATTTTCTGGAATCTTCACACACCCGCTAGTAAATTCTCACATTAAGTTTATATTGGATTTTGGTTTTTGTTTCATTTCGTCTTGCTTCAGCTTTACCCTTATCCTCCACCAAAATGTTTATGTTGTTGCCAAACAGGGACCTGAAGGAACCTGGCTTGCCGAGTGGAAAAGTCAAAAGGAAATCCCAGACAGAACTTTGCATGAGCCCTCTTTCCTTTTATTAGATCTAATTTCCCCCCAGTTGACGAAGTAGCCGTTCATGGACATCTAGCAAAATGTAATGGAGACCCTTTCTGTCTGCATTTATATAGAAATGCAGTCTTGCATTACGCTGCCAAAGCCTGTGTTGGAGTTGATTATACAGGATACTTAGGAAGCCCCTTGGCTGAGGTGTGTGCCATTAGTCCCCTGTCCATCCTGATGAGGGCAGATAGGTACAACTACATGCCAAACCTGACGGTGACGTTGATATCTCTGTTTTGTTACCTGTTCACTCCTAAAGAAGGGGGTTAGCAAGATCTGCATCCATAAAACTAACATAGAGCCCGTCACAAACTTAACATCTTGAAGAAAGGCAACGTTATGAAATAGCTCCTTCTCTGGGCAGAGTTTCCGTCTCCCAGACCCTATTCCTGCTGTCCTCCCTGGAGAGCCTCGTCTCTTGAAGGCCTGGCATATGGAAGCAATAAGTATGATGCTTTTGCCCCTGCTCCCCCCGCCGGAAAGAATTCCTCTAACATCTTGCTTATGTGGTGACGTCTAGCTCGCCGCCTGCAGCTCAGCCCATGGGAGAGCAGCGTTGTTAACAGACTGCTGACGCCCACACATTCGTTCCTGGCCAGAAGTAAAAGCACAGCAGCCTTGTCTGGAGATACAGGTAAAACTGTCAAAGTGCAACTTTCTTGGTGAGGTAAAGTCCTCCTTTTAAAGCACACCTGAGCCATCCTGGTCCATCTAATTATGTCTCAGTCTTCCCCATTGTGTTTGCTTCTCTTTCCCTGGGTGCAGTGGCTTTGGAAATGTCTGTTGGTGTTGGTTTCACGCTCCTGGTACTGTTTCCTCTTCTCATCTTATCTGGACACCAGATGCCAGGCAGACAAAGGATGCCCCTCCTTGTGATTAGATGGCTTCAGATGCTTCTGTGTGTTTGTAACGTCACCAGAAAAACCTACCCCTTCCCCGCCTTTCTCTCTGCCCCTGCATCTGAGCAGACCATCAGAGGTAGACATGATTTAATATTTAATACTGATGATAGATGGACTTGAGACTAAAATCAAAGCCCAGGTCGATTTAAGCAAGAGTTTCACGATGTGGCTTGGGCTAGCAACTTCTGCCTACGCCAGGCTTTCGTATGTAATCTAGGAATTAGTACCCTCTCAAATCTCTAAGAGCTGTGGAGAAGGCTAATTACAGTCTTCTTCTTTGTTACATACTTTGAAAATATGGAGAATGTGCCAAGTACTGGTTATTATAATTAGTTATAACTCCTCTATGTTTTTGAAATGCAAAGCTTGCCCGAATGAGCCAATTAGTTTAATGAGAAGTTAGTGTAGAGCCTAGATCTAGCTGGAAAGAAAGATACATCTTCAGCTTTTGGCAACATCTCTTTTGTGGTGAGTTGATTTGGTTTTTCCCAAATATCTCTGGGCACAAGAGGTATATCTCTGTAAGCAGCCTAGCAGCCCTTGTCTTAGCACTTGGGAAATTACATAGCCTCTTCATAAAGTTCCCTTTAAAAATACTTTGCCTCTGCAAGTTTCTTCATGTTCATTAGCCCTCTTTGCAAATCATTCTTGGTGGTTTTATGATTTTTTTTCATCTCTGGTGTCCAGTGAGCTAATAACAACCCTAATTCTCACAATACCCCCAGGAGGCAGTCGAAAAACCGAGTGCAGACATTCTTACCACCTGCTTGTGGAAACCAAGTGCGGTGACACTAAGTGACTTATACCAGAGCCACTTAGAATTCTGATTGGTGGACTGGGTCTTAAACGTGCTTCCCCCCTCCTCCCTCGGTGCCTGGAGTGATGCTCTGTGTACAGTTGTGCATTCAATTAGCTGGACCACAGCATTCTGTGTTTTCTGTGAAGGAACTCTCCTGTCAGCTGTCACATCGCATCTGAGATTTTTCCAGGGGAGAAAGTACAACTAATTTCAAGATAGTTTACTTTCTGTCTGGGAATGTCATGCTCTTACACAAGTCATGAAAGTTTTTCCACATGTCCAGCTAATTGAAGAAACTGTAACATTGCTTTTTAGTCCTGTTTCATAGGATCTAAATAATTTAGAGCTCTCATGCTTTGGAATCTCAACCTCGTATGTTGTTTCATACTGAATGACTGCCTCGCAGCTGAAGAAGTGTCTGTCTTTGCTTTTTCTGTCACCACTAACTTGTGTCAATTCTTTTCGCTTCTCCTCCAGTCCTTTACAACATCATTCGCTCATTCTCCACCCACTCTGCCGGCCCATCTTCCCACATTCTCTCTTCACTGTTGTAATCAATCAGGGTGCTTTTTACCTGCTAACTGGCTGTTCTTTACTTTGCATCTTTCCCATTCTCCTTTTCACAAATGGATACATTTCTGAAATTTTACAGTGAAGCAATGCATAGGCCTTTACTTGAGTTGTCGCTCTCATTAATACATTCCTTAGATCATTGTTACCTTATCGTTGCATTGATACAGCTTATATTTAATGAACCAAAACTACTGTTTTAATTTTTTTCCATTTGAAATTATATATGTAAACATCCCTTATGTTTATCTTGTCAGAAACGCTGTATTCATCTCTTTTCCTTTTTCCATCTGCTCTCCACGATTATTCTTCCTTGTCTTTCCATTTTACTGTTGTCTCTTGAGTTCATCTTATATCTGGTTGCCATTGGCAAGAGGATGACCTACATCCAGAGCCAGGGTTAAAGAGCAGATCAAAACAGCCATCCTTACCCCTAGGGTGTTTGGTGATTGCAAACTCCCAGAACACGCAGTAAGAGCACTTGAAATTTGCAAGAGTCTCCTACCTCTCATTTGTGGCCACTGCTTTGGGTCGACTTCTCCGTGCCCTTTTTTTTTTAAGATTTTATTTATTTATTTGACAGAGGCAGAGGGAGAGAGGGAACACAAGCAGAGGAAATGGGAGAGGGAGAAGCAGGCTTCCCGCGGAGCAGGGAGCCTGATGTGGGGCTCGATCCCAGGACCCTGGGATCATGACCTGAGCCCAAGACAGATGCTTAACGACTGAGCCAGCCAGGCGCCCCTCCACGCCCATTTTTTTAAAAATACATTTAAAATACATGTGATTATTACGGCTCAGGGTTAAAAGAGTTGATACATATAAAATGTTTAGACTAGTACCTGCACATAATAGGCCCTCAATAAATGTTATTAATATTATTTATAAGTTTTCTGTTCTCTGTGCTGTACTCCAGCCACTTGTACTGCATTATCTTTTCTCTGCACTTTTCATATATCGTTCATTTAGAAGATCTTGAACAAGTTAAGTTAATGCACACTTGTTACCAAGAGTAGAAGGAAATAGAGATATTATAGAAGACTTTCTACTGGACACTCCATAGAAGAATCTTCATGTTTAATAGAACTACTTTGGGATACCAAGAGCACTCTGGGAAAATCAAAATACTGTATATTATTGCTCTTACTCTTTTCTTAAGAAGGGCAAGATAATTCCAGTAAATGATTAAAGGTTTCAGGTTTTCAGTAGTTGCTGTTCACAACAACAACCCATTCCATGAAACGTAATGTCCTTAGAATTTACAGTGTTCGTTTTAGCCAGTGTTCCTTGAACAATTAAATTTGAGGATTTTTGTACAAACTGCACTCAATAGATTTAAGGATATTTTCTCCCTTTGCTTAATATTACCTCAGCGCTGTAATAAAGAATGAACCAGAGGGGTGATGAGACTGGCTTAGACCCATGATCATCTCAGGAAATGCTCCCTAGATACTCTTGAAATGATTTTCCACTGGAGGACAATGAACTCCTATTCCTGTGTTTCCTTTTTCCTGTCAGACCCAGGCCTCAGAGCAGGGCTGTGGTCTAGAGTTTCTTGATTCTGGAGCAAGGTAAATGGCCTCTGGCTGTGCCCTGGGCGGTCAGTGCCTTTCCTGGTCATTAATCCCACAGAAGTACTTTGTGCCAGGATCTTATTCTTTAAGATTTTATTTATTTATTTGACAGAGAGAGACACAGCGAGAGAGGGAGAGGGAACACAAGCAGGGGGAGTGGGAGAGGGAGAAGCAGGCTTCCCGCTGAGCAGGAAGCCCGATGTGGGGCTCGATCCCAGGACCCTGGGATCATGACCTGAGCCGAAGGCAGACACTTAACGACTGAGCCACCCAGGCGCCCCAGGATCTTATTCTTTAAATGCATTTGATTGGCTTGAAGAGTATTGCATTATTGAACTCTTTCGTGTCTGGGAAATGCAAATGCTTTGTTGTGGTGCTTGAAAAGAGTTATTTTCAAATAGTTTCCCCTGTGATCACAAGAAGCCAAATGAGACTAGGTTCTCCTTTCTCACAAAAAAAGGAATCTTCCTTCACCATTAAGGTCTGAAGCAAAGTTTATGTGAACTCCCAAGTTAAGATACACATACTCTTTTAAGGAGGACTGAGGGGGAATGCAAAATGTTTTAGTTTATCCTGAAGCAATAGTTCTGTTTTCAGAGGATTGGAAAAGAGAATGCAATATCCAGTCCATTCCCTGCCTTGACCATTTAGCGATACCAGAAGATAATGCAAATCATTTAATAAGAGAGCACGTAAATAAATAAGCAATCTGATCAACTTTCTGTCTGTAAATGAAACCAAAATAACATTTTTAACTCTATAATTCCAAAATTCTTAATTTTCCTTGTGAAGTTTTGAGTTTTTAATTTATTAGTAAATACTATTATACTTAGCTGAAATAATGGTCTTTTTAAAAGTTTGCTACAATGGCAGTAGGTACGTAAAGTCATTTTATAAAATCATCCAAGCACATAGTATTCTCCTCTAGGAGTCATGTTTAATTGTCTAATTTTTTTTTTTTTTTGCTGGAGGATAAGATTTCTGGGCGAGATCTGAAAAATGAACCTTGGAACCTTAGAACCCACACTTTTTTGTGTGTAGTGGTATATGAACTTCCTTAAACCCATTTTTTGCCCAGAATCACTTGGTTAATGACAATGTTCCTGTGAAGGTGAATAGTCAGAAACTGATTTTTTAAAAAAATCCCAACCTGAGTAAAACAGTAAAAGCTATTCACGATTCAACTTTATTTTTGGCAGTTCTAACATATGTATGTTCTGTTCAGCATTTGAAATGATTACATCTCATCTCCCCATACCTTCTACTGCTTGTTAATAAACCATCAAATGCCTTGGCTTTTTGGGAAAACCCAGAAGGCATGCATCTGATTTGGCTTTAAATAGACAAAACATTTACAGAATTTGTTTCTGGAAATTATTAGTTATCCTGTAACACCTAGTAAGACTTGGTTGTTTAACATTGTAAAAATCCCGTTGCTTTTTTTCTAGTGGCTGTTGAACCTTACTCCTGAAATAGGTGGCGTCAATCTTGCTTGCCTGCTTGCTTACTTCCTGTCTCTCCACCTTCTGTCCCATCTTAAAGCTAATTAGGAAAAATCTGATTATAAACAGTCCTTATATAAAAATGATCTATCACTAATGTAGTGTTCTACCAGAACCATCAGTTCATAGGAATATAAGCCCATTGCTTTCCTTAATTATTAGGCTACATCTGTATCTTTCATCACTATTTAAATAGCCAAAGAACTCACATAGTCTAGATTTTTCACTTGGACATGGCTTCTTTTTGGACACACCGTAAACTGATAGGACTGTGAGGAGAGTTGGAATATGATGGTTCTGGACACCTTTAGGTAATAACTTCTTCTCCCTACTTTTCTCTCTATCTCTGCTTTGCTCCTTTTCCTGAACCCGCTTTTGGCTTTCCTTCAACCACTCTTCTGGCACTCTTGTGTGTAAAACAATCACCTATACCCTAGTTATCCCCATTTGTCCTCGTTCAGCATCTTGCAGCCCCATCAACATCATGCCCTCCAAAGCTGCACACTCTAGAAATCTGACGGATCGGCCAAAATTCTTGGTAACGCCACCGGAGGGCTCGGCGCGAAGGAGGACGGCTCACGGCACCGCGGTGAGTAGCCGGCGGGAGCGGCCAGGCGGGTCTGTGCTGTTTCTGTGCAGGGTGGACACCAGCCCCGGCTGCCGTGTGGGTGTCAGAGTGGGAGGTGCCCACACCTGGGTGGTGTCCCCACGCTTCCTCTCCACTGGGGAGTTGGGCTCCCCATAAAAATGTGAATTTGAGGATGAAAACTATTCTCCATTCAAGGGCGTGCGTGCGGCTGAAGTACCATATGGGGGCCTGTGTACGACTAAAGGTCAGGCCAGCACGCTTTTTCCTGTTTGCAAGTCAGACAGCCCCAGAAGGGGGTGTGGGCCTTCGCAGCTGCCTCTGCATTTTATTAAACCATATCCAGGAGCTGGCTGAACTCTGAATGTGGTTCACCAAAAAGCAAAATAAAGAATTTTTGTCTGCTTAGCTAATCCCTGTCAAGGCCCAAATCCTACAATATAGGAACAAAGTATTTTGAAAACACTAGTGATTTGCTAGGTAACGAATTTTTGAAAGGCACCTGGGCTGTGTTATAGACTCAAATTTTGCAAGCAAAGAATATAATTTGTACTTGTAATTACTGGCAAGGTGGCTGAGCTAACATGAGTTTTCACCTATAATTAATTTCATGCCATAAATGCAATGAGGTAACTTGTGTGTCTCTAAGAGTCTTTCTTCCTCAAACTGTGTGTTATTTAGTATCTGTTGAAAGAAGTAGATACAGTTGTGTGGTCTTCTCTTAAAGGATTCCCCAGTCAACCAGAAGATCTCATTGCCTCTCTCGCATGGGAATACCATGACCTGTTTAATGAAAGGCTGAACAATTTTTTTTTAAATCTTAACTTCCCAGAGTGTTGGGATTTATAAAGCTGGTGGACACATAAAAGGATTTTGCTTAGTTGTTTGAGAATAATTTGAGGATTGTGAGAGCTTGATGGCCTTGCCTCTCGGCAGTTTTCTTCCAAGCCCCAGGCTTTCAGGAATCAGTGTTTAATTCCTGATTGAGCCAGACCTCCAGCCCCGCAAGGAGGTCTTGCAAGTGAAGCTTGGAGGTGAAACTACCTTTGATGGCTGGGTAGTTGTTCATCATTAGCACATGAGATTCAGAGAGCCTAGCTGTGGATAAAAAGCAATAGTTAGAAGAGCTTTGCCCCCAAAGGTTGGGGACTTACTGAAGAGGGAGAAGCACTTAGCAAAGGAAAAGCATCTTGTTGTGGATAAAAACACAACCTAACACACCAGGAGGAAAGGATGAGAGCTGACCCTTGGTCAACAGATTAAAGGAGAGGGATTTGTCATCACATGATTCAGAAGCTCCACTTTCTCACCCATTTTAATTTTTTTTGATGCCTTCCTTGTCCTGTATTTGATTTATTGGTCATCTTTTCACCTCTTTACCAAATATTTAGGCAAATACCTATTTCCAGAAGTGACTCACAAGTCTTTTATACCCCAGAGCTGCCCTGTGGAATTCAGTTGAGCCACCAGCGACCTGTGGTCATGGAGCACTTGAAAAGTGGCTAGTGAGAATGACAAACAGAATTTTCAATTTAATTTCCTTTTTAAAAAATGTTTAACTATAGTAAAAAAACATGTAACAAAATTTATCATCTTAACTATTTTTAAGTGTACATTTCGGTAGTGTTACGTATATTCACATTGTTGTGCAGCCTGTCCCCAGAACTAATTAAATCTTGCAAAACTGAAACTATCCCCACTGAACAACAACTCCCCATTTCCTCCTCTCCCACCCCCTGGCAACCCACCATTTTACTTTCTGTTTCTTTGAATTTGACTACTTTAGATACATCCTATAAATGGCATCATACAGCATTTGTCCTTTTGTGATTGGCTTATTTCACTTTGCATAATGTCCTTAAGGTCTGTCTGTCCATGCTGTAGCATGTGACAGGATTTCTGTCCTTTTTAAGGCTAATAATATTCCACTGTATGTATGTATGCATATACACATGAACACACACATGTACACATATGCCACATTTTGTGAATCCATTCGTCTGCTGGTGGACATTTGAGGTGCTTCTGCCTCTTGAATATGAATAGCACTATGAATAGTCCTGCTGTATACATGGGTAGCAAATATCTCTTCAAGATCCTGCCTTCAGTCCTTTGGGATATATACCCAGAAGTGGGATTGCTGGATTTTGTGGTAATTTTCTTTCTAATATTTTGAGGAACTGCCATACTGTTCTCCATAGCAAATGCACCATTTTACTTACATTCCCACCAACAGTATAGAGGGGTTCCACTTCTTCCACACCTTCACCAACACTTGTTATTTTCTGGGTTTTTGTTTATTTTATAGTGGCCATCCTAATGGTGTGAGGTGCTCTCTCATTGCAATTTTGATTTGCATTTCTCTAATGATCAGTGATGTTGAACATCTTTTTATATGTTTGTTGGCCATTCACACATCTCTTTTGGAGAAATATCTATTCAAGTCCTTTGCTCATTTTTTAATCTTATTCTTTAATTTGTTTTAATCTTTAATTTGTTTTAATCTTTAATTTTAATTTTTGTGTTGCGTTGTAGGATATGTACATATTCTGGATATTACATTTTCTGGATATTAATCTCTTATCAGATATATGATTTGCAAGTATTTCTCTTATTCTGTAGTTGACTTTCTTACTCTTTTGATTGAATCCTTTGATGCACAGGAGTTTTTAAGTTTGATGCAGTCCGTTTGTCTATTTTTGCTTTTTTTTTTTTTTAAAGATTTTATTTATTTATTTATTTGACAGAGAGAGAGAGGGAGAGATAGCAAGAGCAGGAACACAAGCAGGGGGAGTGGGAGATGGAGAAGCAGGCTTCCCGCTGAGCAGGGACCCCGATGCAGGGCTCGATCCCAGGACCCTGGGACCATGACCTGAGCTGAAGGCAGACGCTTAACGACTGAGCCACCCAGGCGCCCCTATTTTTGCTTTTATTGCCTGTGCTTTTGGTGTCATATCCAAGAAATCCCTGATTACAAATCCAGCATCATGAAGCTTCCCCCATTTTTTTTGCAGGAATTTTATAGTTTTAAGCATTAAATTTAGGTCTTTAATCCATTTTGAGTTAGTTTTTGTATACGGTGTAAGGTGACCGTCCAACTACATTCTTTGGCATGTGGATATCCAGTTTTCCCAGCACCATTTATTGAAGAGACTGTCTTTTTTCCCTGCTGAGTGGTCTTGGCACCCTTATTGAGGATCCTTTGACCATGTACATAAGGATTTATTTCTGGGCTCTTGACTCCATTGGTCTCCATGTCTCTCTTTATGTCAGTACCACACTGTTTTGATTACTGTAGCTTTGTAATATTGAAATCAGGAAGTGGGAGACCTCCAACTTTGTTCTTTGTTTTCAAGATTGTTTTGTCTATTCAGGGTCCCTTGAAGTTCCATATGACTTTAGGATAGATTTTTCTATTTCTGCAAAAAATGATACTGGATTTTGATAGGGTGGCTTTGACTCTGTAGATCCTTTTGGATAGTATCAGCATTTTAACAATAAGTCTTCTAGTCTGTGAACACAGAATGTCTTCCTGTTTATGTTCTTTTCATTTCTTTTAGCAATGTCTTTTAGTGTTCAGTGTAGGAGTCTTCTGCCTTCTTGGTTAAGTTTATTCCTAAGGATTTAATTCTTTTTGATGCTATTATAAATAGAAATGTTTTCATAACTTTCTTTTCAGTTTTATTTCATTTTAATTCATTTAGATCTAAACTCAAATGACCAAAATGTGGCTAGTGGCTAGCTTATTGGACAGCACAGATGTAGAACATTTCTGTCATCACAGAATGTTCTGTTGGACAGCAGGCCTTGGAGTACCGGTCTGTATTGTCTCTCTTGAACGTTATTTGTATTCTAAACCTAGCTCTGATTAAGATCAAAGTCCTTGTCCTGCTGGTACAGTGTCCACTGACATGTGCACCTTGCCGTGTGTGTTCCCGTTAACCTTGTGGAAAATGTTAATAGGAGAGATTATTGTACAGACCACTGACTATTAACTCAGATCAGGGGGGAGGATGAGGAATGCCTTTACATGTGTGGTACCCAAATAGGTGATTGGGTGACAAGACCAGTGAAAAGACACCTAAAAACACTAAGAGGGTAAAACCATCTACCTGCCTGAGGATGTCGTCTCAATTCCCGAACATTTTTCTAAACCTCTTTGCCTGTTTCCCTACCCCTTTAAGGTGATTATAAAGGGAGGGCAGTTTTAGGAAAGAAAGAATTGGTTCAATAGCACTTTAACTTTTTTTTTTTAATCCAAAAGGAAGGATTATACAGTTCTTTGTAGGTTCTTTCCCTAGATGCCTGTCTTGTCAAGACACAGATGATGAAATTCATCCCTGTGTCCTCCACTTCACAAATTGCCCTTCCTGACTTATTTTCCCATTCAGATGTCTCCTGAATTTGACTTCAGCCAAAGTAAAATGTTTTGAGAGAAAGGAAAAAAAAAAGCTACTTGAGGTGCTTAAGCCCATCTTCCCTTGGGAAGAGCCCCGGCCTTCTGCTCTGGCACTGATATGCCAGAGACATAATTGCCCCCAGTATCGCGCCCAGAAGTGTCCCCTATGCTGGCTGCCACTTCTGCCACCAGGGACAATAGCTGCATTCTGAGGCCCCACCTCCCACCTTCTGGGACCAGAAATGGGAGCAAAGGCTGGTCATGCAGCCACAAGTGACAGAGAGCTGACACACATCTTATAATGCTCTTTCCTGCCCCAGTCTTCGTTTGTTTTATTTAGAAATTCTGGGAAGACGCTGAGTATTATTTGATACTCCTGTTTTCCCCGCACCTCTAGCCCAGTCCATCCACTAGGATGCTACTAAGGGAAGTGGAGAGAAGCAATTACAAGGGACACTGAAGGGGAACAAGGCTGGGGGGGTGGGGGGTGGAGGGGAAGGAAGGTAGAAGGGAGTTGATGCTCCCTTCTACCTTCTCCACCAGGCAGAAAGGAGAGAGAAAGGGTACACTACCAGCTTCTTGGCCCTGCGGCTAGATAAAATAGATAAAGTTCTGTCCCTTCTCTTGGCCTCTCACAGTCTGCTTTCCTGCAAGGGTCCCACAGAGTAAGGTACTGACAGGTGCTCACACAGGTGCTTGCAGAGAGTATCCAGTCCCATCCCAGGACACTGTTGGCACGTTTTAGATACTTAGAATGAGTCTTCCTTGCTCTGTGCGGTTTTTGTTGCTGTTGTTGTTTGTTGTTTTTGTTTTTGTCTTTTTGTCTTGGTTGACTATAGATTACCAAACACTCTGGGTTCCCGTTTGCTCATTTTGACTTGGAAAAGGTATCACCTCCCTGGCTAAATTTCTAGTATGCAGTTAGAAAAGGAATGATGTTTTGACCCACTCTCCCATTTCAGTTTTATCCCTAAAGAAGATTGAAAATAGCTAAAATGCTTCACCTTAAACCTGACTCTTCCTTCAAAGACCATTAGGTGAAAAAGGAATTATTATTATTCTTTTAAAGATTTTATTTATGTGACAGAGAGAGACACAGCGAGAGAGGGAACACAAGCAGGGACAGAGGGAGAGGGAGAAGCAGGCTTCCCGTGGAGCAGGGAGCCTGATGCGGGGCTCCATCCCAGGACCCTGGGACCATGACCCGAGCCGAAGGCAGATGCTTAAAAACTGAGCCACCCAGGCGCCCCCTAGAAAGGAATTATTTATATAGTATCAGTATAAAGGGAAAAAATGAATTAAGTCTGATGTAGCAGACACATAAATGTAAAGGCTGAGTATGGTATTTTCCAACATAGGAAGAAAAATGCTGAAGAATTAAAATGAGGGCAAGGGGGAAATGAAAGTGACTTTTATTTTGATATTTGTGTGGGTTAAACAAGACAATGAGAGATTTTGCCCCAGGTGATTGTAGACACAAAGTAAGTATAGGTGCTTTCTAAGAGTATAAGTGTATTTTTTTTTAACAAATTTAACTCAAGATCAGACATCCAGAACTTTATTATTCGTGTCAGATGGTGTTAATTCAGTTATAAGATTCAGGTTTTGAGCTAACAAGGGCTTTTTGTGGGAGTGGAATGGATATAAATGACAAAGGCTGGAAATTTTCCAAAAAGTCACTCAATGGGTTGCAGCTCCACTATCGAATACTGTGAATGGGACTGTCCCACTCATAGCAAAATCTAACTATTGTGTGTCTCCGAACTTAGGGCTATAAAAGAGAGAGGGACAGAGAAAACCTACCGTTCCATCCCACATCTGGCATTCGGAGAGCGCTATCTCCTTCTCATCCCAAAGCAAGATCACCAGCTCCCTCCCGACTTTGGTAAGCAAAATTTAAGAGGTTGGCTGGGTTGCCCCATGTGGAAGAATTCGTAGCCTCTGTTCTCTGAAAGCAAACTATTCATTCTCTCCATGCTGTTTAGCATTGACTTAGGGACTAACATTTTTCCTTGTAAGAAAGGAAAAAGGAAATGGGAATGAGTCTCTAAAGTGAGTATTTCTGTGTTTGCCGCATAAAAAACAAATACACCAGCTCAGTATCTTCGTTTCTTTTCCTTACTGGTGCTGGCGTTCACGTGGTAGAGGAGTGGGGAAAGGAAGGGTCTGGCAAAGCCTGTTCTGATGGCTCCCATTCTCTTTCTGCTGCGTGTTGCCCAGGCTGCCATCCAGATCCTTTCCTCATCTGCCTGGCACACCCAGGCCAACCTCCTCCTTGCCTCCCGGATCAGTCAAAGATGGCCCTGCTCAGGTCCGGCCCCCATCCCCTGGCAACATCCGCCCTGTCAAGAGAGAAGTCAGAGTGGAACCTGAGAGGAAAGACCCCGAGAGGGAACCCCAGAATGTTGCCAATGAGCCATCACTTAAGGGCAGAACACCTTTAGTGAAGGTGGAAGAAGCCACAGTTGAAGAGGGGACACCTGCCGAGCCGGAGGCTGCTCCTGGTAAGATTCTGTTGCCTTGTGATGAAGTGTGGGTTGTTTGCTCTTCTTGGGGGACTTAGAAATTTTACTCCAAGGTTAACTTGGGGAACTTTTCCTACGTGCGATTTTCTTACGTATAAAGAAAGAAATAACCAATCAAAAGCCTATCGCTGGAGCCACAGCATATTAATTCAGGTCTGACTTACGATTCCTTTTATTGACCGAGTCCAGTTTTTCACAGAATGTGGTGTTCAGAGCACCTGCCTCAGGATTGCTTGTATTAGTCACTGCTGTGTAACAAATCAGCCTAAAACTTTGCAGCTTATTACAATAGTTATATCACACAGATCCTTGGGTCAGGAGTTTGGAAGCAGCTTAGCTGGGTTGTTGGAAGATGATGCACACACATGGCTGAGCTCCATTTCATGGCACATGATCCTCTCCATAGGGTTGCTTGACGTCCTCAGTCTGTCTGCTGGACTTGCTTGCTGGCTTCCCCCAGAGAGTGTGATCTGAGAGAGAGCTTCACGAGGAAGCCACATCCTTTATGCCTAGTCTCAGAAGTCATACACACAGAAGTCACAATTTCTTCAGATTCTGTTCATTAGAAGCAAGGGACTACGTTCAACTCATACTCCAATGAATGGGATTAGTCTCGCCCTTTTAGAGTAAAGATCTTCAAAGAGTTTATGGAAATAGTTTTAATTTACCACTTCTGTAATGTTTCAAAGTACAGAGCTCTGGCCCTGTCTTAGACCTACTGAATCCAGGTATGTCGTGGATCCAGGGACTCTGAAAGACACTAAGCTCATCAATCAATTCCTATGCAGAATTGTCAGATAAAATGCAGAATGGCCAGTTATCTTGTGCATAGTGGAGTTGAAGGACCACCGGCTAGCCTGTGGTGCTTGACAGAGGTCAGAATTTGTTCCAAAAGACCCAGTGGATCTCATCTCTGCCAGGCTAAACCATATGCTTTTTAGAAGTTTAGAATCACCTGGAGCTAGGAGTTCAATATTTTTTGTTGAAAATTGTCTTCATTCAAAAGTTTTCTCCTTGAGACTTAATTTGAAGATGTGGGCAGGGACAGAGAAAGAATAGATAATTCAAGACAAGTGACAGTGTTGTTAGACAGTGGAAGAGTCCAATATTTGTTTGCATGGAAAGAGAGAGGAGAGAAAGGCCAAAAAGTGTCCTGGGGGCAAAGAAAAATGCGTTAATCTTGAAAGGAGGGTCTAGAATACCAGAGATCACACCTCCCAGCACAGCATCTAGGTGGGACTCCTGGCCACGTAGAGTGGCTCTCTAGGCCATTTCCTGAATGTGGATAAGGTCAGAGGACTTGTACTGCCATCTTGCATCTTGGCATCAGGACAGACCACAGAGGCCCAAATTGGTAAGGAATACGAGTGCTGGCTCCTGAAGAGGCCCTTGACTCCTCCTATCTCAGACCTGGAGACAGCTCTAGGTAGACAAAAAGGGACTTCTTCATCTTCATCGGGTGTCATCTTCCCAGCCTGAATCTGGGCTCATGGCAAGGACGCTGAGGATGGTCACAGAAAGGCTTTGGTCCACTAGTAATGAATAGTCACTAAAGAGAAGGAATTTTTTAAGTGTAATGAAAGACAAATGGAAGATCTCATCTTCTTTTTGCTCAGAGTATAACTTCCCACAGAACCTAAAGTGAGGCTCTATACTGAGTACACATTTGATATATGTTGTTAACTGATTAACTTGTATAAAAATAAGACTTGGTGACAGAGTGTCAGCTTTGTTGGATGTCTCACTTACACATGCACCTTTTTGTTATCTGTTGCTTGGTTACAAATAGAATACAGTGAAACCGTGAGAACACACAGTAATAAACATTCCCTTTTCTTTTATAATGATGAATTCTAGGCCTGGGGTGTGGGGAATGCTAGTTTTTGTTTTGTTCTTTGGGTTTTGTTTCCAACTGGTTTTCTCCCTGTACCTGTTTGTACAGCTGCTTCAGCCCCAGCCCCAGCCCCAGCCCCAGCATCGGCCCCCGCTCCAGCGCCGGTCCCAGCCCCAGCGTCAGCCCCAGCCCCAGGCCCAGCGTCAGCCCCAGCCTCGCCATACACTGTGACTGCCGCCGCTTCTCCCAAGACCTCCGCAGGCACCACCGACCCAGAAGAGGCCACGAGGCTGCTAGCTGAGAAGAGGCGGCTGGCCCGAGAGCAGAGAGAGAAGGAGGAAAGAGAGAAGAGGGAGAAGGAAGAGCTGGGAAGGTAAAGGACCATTGCTCAGTGAGCAGGGCCATCCTGGGGTTACCTTGGAATAAGTCTTTAGTCTGAGAGACAAGAGGTGGTGGTAGTGATGAAGGTGAATGGACTAGTTGCTTCAGAATCATGCATCTGACCACTAAGTGATTTTTTTAAATCACATTTTCTTACTCTAATGACAGTACAACACTGATGGAGAAAGGTTTTAAAGAAAGAAAAAAATCTATCCATAATCTTACCAGTTTTCAGTAATTGGCAAAGTGGATTTTGGGTCTCTGAACAATGTAGGGGTTTATATACGTACATAAATATGGACACACACACAGACATCTGTTTATGTAATTCTAACCACAGTAGAGGTACAATTGTACAGTCTGATTTTTTTTTTTTTTTTACTGAACATATTTCTAATCTCCATAGTTCCTCGTTATCTTTCTAATAATCATTTTAAAGCTGCATAGTAAAAGCTTGTGTTTTCTTCCAGATAGAACTCTCAGGGAGTAGCTGGGTGAGATAGTTAAGTGCCCCATAATGGCCTGCTGGGCAGGATGCTAGGGACAGTTGGCTTAGTTGGCCTCCTCCTGCGGCTAATAAAACCAATTTGTCAAGGACATTGTTCTTCAGACAAGCAGAACTGCATCTCGGGGGAGGATCGCAGCCCCAGTGCTGGGCAGCAACCTTGGACATACCCTACACTTGATCACAGCAGGGAGCTTACATAGTCTGTCTTCGTCCTGCCCTGCAACAGAACATTGTAACCTTTATTAATTTGCAAAGATTTCCGGGGCGGGGGGGTATTCACATTCATTACTAAAATGTCCCATTATTGGATAAAACTAGTCTTAGCCTTTAAAGATAGTTAAATTGCACATCCTTTCACAAAACAAGCTCTCCTCAAAATATTAGTGGTTGCATTTTCCTTCTGTTTACCACGAGGCAACGTGAGGCTGGGAAAATGAGGAGGAAGAAGAGAGGGTGGCTTCTCATTTTGTCCCCAAAGCATGCTGAGCGTGTCCCACGGAGATTTTCCTCAGAGCAGACTGCCCAGGCCGCAACCACAAACTCTAGGCTCTCTTCAGGGAGTCGTCTCCCCCCAGTGTATCTCTGCTTTGTGTGTGTCATTTTCCAGACAAAAGAGAGAGGAGCTGGCGCAGAAGGTGGCGGAGGAGCGGGCTCGGCGGGAGGAGGAATCCCGCCGGCTGGAGGCTGAGCAGGCCCGGGAGAGGGAAGAGCAGCTGCGGCGGCAGGCGGAGGAGCGGGAGCGGCGCGAGCGCGAGGACCAGGAGCGCGCCCAGAAGCAGGTAGGGGCCCGCCCGGCCGGGGCCAGGCCCGCTCAGAGCGGAGGAGAGCGCCCAG